TATTGTGAACGCAGCGACAATCATAAAATTCATCCCGACAAAAATTAAGTCTAACTGATCCCCTACGCACTATATGATAAAAATCTTTGAAATTAAGACTATCCACTATAAATCACGAAAAAAAATTAAACTTTCATGAAGGATTGCAATTACAAACCTCAGTGCTGACAACATAGTGAAGCCGATCAGGCCGTTCATCATCATTAATGACTCCTTCTCCAAGGCGCAGCATATTGAATATAGTATTTCCAGCTACGCGCCCGAAGAGAGTATGCTTACCATCGAGTTCAGTTGCTGGACCCAAAGTGAAAAAAAACTGACTCCTGTTTGAGTTGGGCTCGGAAGAAGCCATACCAAGAAGGCCACGACGATTAAAAGAGAGTCTTGAATGAGCTTCATTCTAAAAAGGTGCAAATGGAACTATGCAGTTTGGTGCAGAAACCAAAAATAGATCATCGGATTTAAGATAAAGCAAATAATCAAACGACAAGTCGGATATAAATTTAAATGACGACAAAAACCAAGACTATTCAATTGTCCAATGCCTCTATCACACGCGCTACGGTCGAATAGTAGTTCAATGGCGAATGCAGAATACTTTAAAATGTTCGAGCAAAGTGAAAATATCTATTTTGGGATCACTTCCACCTGTAAGGCATGCGAGGGGGCTAACTGCATAGCCCCATCCAAAGCCAGCAAAGTGGATAGCCTAGTTTGCTGAAAAAATGTTTGCAAAAGTCTTCATTGCTGATGTAATAATAGCATCAAATAAGGAAGGCATAACGACAGCAAACAGTAATAAAAAGAGGTATTTTGGTAGATTTACAGGTATACCTGGGCGATTTACTATTCTACGCCTCATTTCGATTGATTGCAGCAACAACAGAATGCAGTGCCCAGGTTTGCTAGCGATTCCATAAGCGTTAAATATAGATTACAGCATACGAGCGGAGTTATTCATTTAAATGAAAAGAAACCATGACCACCTGTTAACAAGATGAAATTAGGAGCAAGAAACACGTTAGACAAGATATAAAATCTTGTTTTGCCCACATCCAAACCCTTCTCTATTAACGTAACTACATGAATTATAATGTCATTTTAAGATTGCATACATTTCTGTGAACAAGACGATAATGCAAGTTGCAATTTGATTGTTAAAACGATTTGCGAATCAAAAACCATAATATCAAATTACTTTAAAAGGTTGTCCATAAATGCTCTCCCCTCCTTTGCCTGTACCGGTGGGATCGCCACCTTGAACAACAAAACCTTTCACCAGCCTGTGAAACGGTGTGTCGTCGTAATAGTTCTCCATGCACAGCTGTACAAAATTTCTGCAAGCTTTTGGTGTCTCCTTCGACCATAGCTCGACTTCAATTTCGCCAACAGTAGTTCTGAGTATGACCTTACCATTAGTGGCTGGCTCAGTTATGTAAATGTTACTCATAGCTGATAAATCGAATTAAGCTGGAGTATTTGATTAAATAAATATTCAAGTTAAATACAAATTTATTTTTATTTTTATGTTTATTTTTATATCTTACATTTAAGTTTTTGTTTAGTAGTTTGCAATTTAGCGCTAATACATTATGGCTCCTGAGGCTGCGCTTCGCTTCATCAAGAGGCCAGATTGGGAGCTTAAATGTCATTCGATGATCCGCTGCACCCAGGCTGCCTCTCTATTTGGCGTCTTCGTGGCCGCGCCATTGGTCTCTCTTATTATGCGTAATTGTGATTTTCAGCTCTTATGAATTAGGCCAGGCTTCGTTTCGTTTTATTCTGCATCGTTCTGTCAGGTATAACGCCTTTGCTGCCCTCCCGGGTGTTTTCGTCGGATGGCATGCACCAAGTCTCTATGGGGATGGCAGTGAGCTTTCATTATATGACAAGTGCTATCGGTTGCGCACTAACAAGGCCCAGGCAAGTCCAGCTTGTTGTAGAACTCACCTTATGGGCATTCTACACCATTTCTTGATTTGAGTACATCGCATTCGAGTTTATGCTATAATTAATCGTTTGCATTCGCTATTGGTGGATTTTTTTTCTTATTTTAACTATCTTGTATCTGCATACATCATGAGATTGCAAAGCATTGATAGGACCTGACTCAATATGACTTATGCCCACTGCGGGAAAGGGTTTTGGCAACTAGTTCCTATTTGAGCGCAAACGTTGATCAAATTTGTAGTGAGGTGTTTGGGTAATATAGGTTATTGCTTATTTTTAATCATTAAATAGCCCTAAGGATAGGATTACTGTCTTTTACTTTTCTTCATAATTGTGAGCAGGTAGCTTTCGGCACTGTCCTTTAGCTTCAATAGGTCCGTGTTACATTCCGTTTCATGCATAAAAGACATTTCCATCGTTACCTTCTTTGAACTTGTCTCGAATCCTATCCTTCTGGTCTATATGCATATTGTTGCTCTGTGGTTTCCATGGCGTAGGCGTTTTG